ACAGTTGTTCCTATCCAGTTGCTAGCATGTAATATTTTAATACATTATTCAATATTTAAGTCAGATTAACAAATCTGTTTCATTAAAATGTTTATTCTATAATGAAAGCATTGAAAACCTTTCTTGTAGCCTTTTAAAATGTACAGAACATTGTTGACATTTAGTAGTTAATCTGCAAAAGTGCATCAAGACTTCATTCTCGTGTCTGAGTGTAATTTAGTTCCTGTTTTTAATCCACCTTTTCTCATTTCTTCTCCGCATACTTCTGTGGCCTCTGGTAGCCACTGTTTTACTCTCAACTTCTCTAGATTGGTTTTTGAGATTCCGTATATGAGTGAGTTTATGAAACACTCATGCTTCTCTACCTGGCGTTTTTCATTCTACCCTGTTACCACACGGGACTTCATTATTTCCTGGGGCTGAGGAGTATTTCTGTGTGCATATTACATCTTCTTATCCAGTTTATCAAATGCTTCCATTTCTTGACGATTGTGAATAGTGTTAAAATGAGCACAGGCAAGCATATGTATCTTTGATATACACGTTTCATAACGATTTGTTTGAAATGGAAACAATGATGGAGCATTTTGGGGATTAAAGAAGAATGTACATAGACATTCATTACTACAATGATTGAGAATCAATATTGTCACATTTACTGCTAGTTAGGGAACTGGGGAAGTATTTCAGAAGTAAAAATGCACTCATAATTAAAGTTCCATTTTAGAGTAACAAAGAACATACTGATATTACAGACTTCTGAATTATTTAAAATACTTTATCCCACAGCTTTAAAAGTATTTCTATTCAATAACAAAATAGAGCTTTTTTTCATAGTTGTTATAATGATGTACTCAGGTTTTTCTCTAATTGGTGGAATTATTTCTGTTGCACTGAATGAACCCAGATTGTGTGTGTGTGTGTGTGTGTGTGTGTGTGTGTGTGTATGTGTGTGTGTGTTGCTTATATCTTACGTTTCCTGAACTTTATTATTTTTGTTACATCTAAGGTTTTTAATTTTATGTTCAGATGGAGTAAGTTGAACTATAAAGATAAGCTTTTTAAAAACTATAGCCTTTGATTTCTCCTTTTATTTCTTTCTGTGATTTTAACAGCCTTGGAAAACAATTAGCAAGATATATTAATTCATTAGGAGTAGCAAATGGTGTACTACATTCATTCATTCTTCTTCATTTATTAACTAGAGTATTTCTATAAGAGAAATGTCCATTAACTATTTTGTTAAGCAGAGATAGTTTGTACAGAGAAAGCAAAATGCATGTTTTGTTCTTATCAATTTCTTTACCAGTTTTTAAAGTAATGTTTTTCTAACATTCTGCCAAAGCTACCATGAGATATCTACTAACATTTGCATGTGTGAATTTAAGTATATTTTAAAGTTTAAGATTTCAGTCACTACCCTCATCTAAGATCAACTTATTTGTTATTGTAGCCCTTTGAAAATTCATTCCCATCTGCTTTTGTTTTGTCCCTAGTAGACATTGATACCTCTTTGCTATTTTGCCAATATTATGCCTATAAAAGACCACCAGTGAATTTGGCTAACTAAATATAAAAATAACAGTAGGTTGAACAGCAATTTGATCCAGCCTCTTACCTACTAATTTAAAGGAAATACAGTAAATGATAAAGCATGTGTAATGGTATCTCGTGTAATACAAAACATTCTAGTTTTTTTTTCTTTCATAGTAAATAAACTTTTTAAATGTTAAAAGTGATGATTTATTGTTTTTCTTTAAGGAAAATTAATTTTAAAATAATGAGATACTGTGTGGCATATCTGTTGGAAGGAGTTTAAAATACCAGACAATCGGCCTGATATGTGGAAAAACTGCTGTTGGGAAAATAACATTTCATACCATTTGGGAATTCATTTTGAAAGATAGTTCTAGAAATAAGTATTTTGCGTATAATCCAGGGATCATACTTCTAATTATTTCCCCTGGAGTAATAAGAGCCTTAAGTTCATATAAAAACCTACAAGTGAAAGTTTACTATGACTTTATATGCGAGTGGTACTTGAAAAAAATATGTGAATGTTTAAATTTAAAGAAATTACAGTGAAAGACTCATTACCATTGATGTCCCTTAAAATACCCTCTCCCTCATTTTTTAAAAATTATATTTAAAGGAGAAAAAAATAAACAGGACAGTATAAGGGTAAAAGTAACACAGAATTAAAAAACAGTAAAAAATCACTAGTTAATAGATTACATATTGTCATCTTAGAAATAGTTGTTCAAGTTACAGGATTAAAGCATACAAGGTGGACATTCAAACAGTGAGACTGTAAACAGTTGTGTTCAGTGATCCAACAAAAACTTAGTAATATGATCATCTATCTTAACACTCCTAAACGCACTTGCAGTTGTATCCTTTAGAGCACTTTTTTCCTCTCTTTTTTACAACAACATTTACACATTTTTCCTCTCCCCCATTTTGAACAGACGTATTCTATCATTCTTGCCATTTTCTGAAATAGTCCAGCAAGTCCTCTTTCATGAGTGTCCTTGGAGGAGTGACTGACGATACAGTAAATGCTGCTGCCAGGTGCCATCTGTGGGAGTCAGATAAATGAAAACACTACCTTGTGTTCATAACCACTTTATTCATCAGACCTGGTCCAGTGCAAAATCTGACTTACCATCAAAGACAAAATGGCCATGGAAGGTAACCATTTTAAATTGACTCAGGATGTCCGGACAACCATGATAGCACAACTGTGATACTCACAAGAGAGGACTTTTGAAACTGGTAAGAATGAAGAGAAAATATTTTTGAGGGTGAATAAAGGCAGTGCATCATTTACTGTAAAGTTATTTTAAATTTAAACACACATATTAAGTGACTCACATGTTTATCAGCTAGCAAATCCCGTACACTGAAATAATTTCAGCAATAAACTGTAATTATTAGGGGCTGGGGATTTAGCTCAATGGCATAAGTACCTGCCTTGCAAGCAGGCAGTCGTGAGTTCAATTCCCAGTACCGATAAAAAGGAAAAAGACAAAAAAAGTAATTATTAGTGCTTCAAGGCAGTAAAAATGTTTCTCAGATGCATTATACCTGAAAGAAACCAAATTCAAAAGAATACATGGTAAATTGTTTCTGCATTTGATATTTAGGAAAAGTCAGCTCGAGGGGCAGAAATTCGATTAGTCATTGCCTGATTATGGGAAGGAAAATGGATCACTGTAGAGGGCCACAAGGAGCATTTAAGGGAGATTGAGAGTATTTTATAGCTTGATCATAGCCATAACTTACAAAGATGTGGATATTTTGTCACAGTACATAGAAATACACCTTTAACATACTGAACACACTTTAGTCAACCTGAAAATTATAATAAGAAATTTTTAAAAGCAATCTCACTGTAATGTAGAGCAGTATTTTGATTTTGGTTTCTGGGGAATTAATAAAACATTAAAAGTATTTGATGACATTAAGTAATTGCTATCTGTGTTAATGTACTAAAAATAATTCTAGCAAAAATCTTTATTTTAGAAATACACACATGGTGACAGTTTTACAGAGTAAATGATTTGACTACTGAAATTTGCTTCAAAAAGTCTTGCACTGGGAGAGTAGCTATGGATGAAATAAATAGAACATAAATTGGTGTTTAATAAAATGATAATGAGTTGTGATTTTAAAAACTATTTTCTCCTAAAACATTTGAGAATTTTCTACATAAAATTTAATTGAAAAAATATAGTTGAGTTTTACCAGTTTGAATATTCAGTAATGAGTATACAGCGTTTACCACAGAAATTTAATACTAGGTGCATCTTTTATAACATGTCCCTGAAATACATTACAGTGGCTCAATTAAGTAGAACTACAAAATTCTTGTAGACAAAAAAACAGGTGGTAAATAATGAACTAACAATGGCATTTTTCAACACTGCACTTAAAGAATCCTTCCTCATTGCAAGGTGAACCGAACCCAATAATGAGCTACATAAGCATTGTCTCCTCAGTGTGTAGCCTGTTGCCTGCCCTACCTTGTGCCTGTGATCCAGCGCTGGAAAAAGTATAGAGCTGCTAAATTTTGATAGTTACATATTTTTCTACTGTAAACATAGCAAAAATACTCTTAGCTCCTCTCTGTCTTTCTAGATTTGTTTTTGTCCTCCTACTTTGCCGGTATAATCCCCATTCCTATTTCAGACTCCAGAGGAATTTTTTTAAATTCCTGTCTGTCTGTCAGTCATCACATCTAATTGAAGACCATCTTGTTTTGGCCTAGCTCAGGTTTAATCTTCTTCGTGAATTCTTCCAGATTAGCATTTCAACCTTGGCTTAATCGCCAGTGTATTTTATAATTGTCCATTTTATCATTTAATATAGTTTATTCTTGTTATTTGTTTAGTAGATGTTTTTTGACCAGATGATGGTTACTCTAGGTTAGTGAAAGAAAGGGGTATAGCTTTAATTTTGCTTTTCCATCTTTTAGCAAATAGTATATTACCTATTATTTGCAGTAATGGCGTCTGCTCTTGAGCATAGTGTTCTTTTCATAAGTGTTTTCATACTTTGCTGTTTATTAATGTACATTTAATAATATTAGAAAGAAACCTTTTAAATATGTTTTTATTAATGTTGACTGAAAAGACTATTAGAATAGGAAAGTAAGCAAAGTTGTATATTTCCTTAGTTTAAAGTTAATATTAGTTTTAAGAATCTGTTAGTAAAAATGATTCTTTAAATTGTATCATTTAGCTATTTTACTCAGCATTGTTAAACCTAAATCCATTTGGAATTATCACCATGCATTTTATCATGACTCAATGTTGTCATTATGCACACATATTTCATACATATGGAAAAAATTTAGAATACTATAACTTGTGAAATGTGATGAATAAGATATTAATGATTATTGATGATTTAAATAACAAAAATACATTAATTATTCAAATAATTTAATGTATTTTTTAGTTGAGAAATTCATGCAAGCTTTATCTGTTCACTTGCAGTTGTGTTGCTTGATACAACCACTGTGCTGGGTGAACCAGGATGGAAGACCTATCCATTAAATGGGGTGAGTTTAAGTATGTTAAAATTCTCATCCTCTTTAGGTTTTAGGACCTGGGATAAATGAAATAACAGATTTTTGGTACTCTTTTATATCCTTTTTGGTATTTAAAATCATGTGAAAAAGATTAAACTATAAATGACAAGTTGATGGGACTTATATATAAACATTCTGTTTTCTTCTATATTATAGTAACTGTTGTGTTTTACACATAGTAATGTTAGAATTCTGCTTATACAAATTTTCCTCAGAAATAAATTTCAATATGTAATATCAGGACATTTTTCTTTATAAATGTTACATACGGTAATTATGAATTTGGAAAAATAAAGTTTTATAAGCAGATTGTAAAACTATTAACAATTTGGATTTTAATACACTAGGACTCTATTAAAATAGTATTTTAATTTGGCAGAAAGATACTTTGTGCTTAGTTTTTTGTTAACTCTAAATAGTTGCTTTTGAAAGCTTACAAAAATGTATAATTTTTGTAATACTGTTTTCCAGAAAGTAACATTTTACCTATGATAGTACTTGAATTTTTATGTTTTATCTTTTCTGCAGCTTTTCATAATACCTTTTTTATATCAACCTAAAATGAAAGAGCTCTTTTGAAGATTTTTAGGTTTTTTTTCTATTTAAAAAATATTCACTGATAAAAACAGATGTTTTCTGCTACATCTCTTTTAACTTTTTTTCTTGGAAATTGTATTTTTGTATCATATCCTTTGATATTATTTACCTTGTTTTTTGTAGTGTATCTCCAAATTTAAATCTGGAAATTAGATATGATTTTAATTTATCATGTTACTAAAATGTTGTTTGAATTTAATATTTTAATCAAAAGTTATTCATTAAATGTGCATTTTTAAAAATCCTATGAAGAGTTGAATCTTCCTCTCTTTAACATCTTATTTGCTTTAGATTTATTTTATATTCTGTGATTTTATTATTTTTTATTTTCTTTTTTATAGTAGATAGTTCATTAAACTACCTCTGAAAAATAACCTTTTAATGTAAGATGTGATTTTTTCCTTTTTTTATGAAAATTAGTAACCACCAATATGTAGTGTTTGTCATTAAGAAGTTAATGAATCTTTTATGTGGTATACTCTTTCAATATCTACATAATTTGAAAAAAAATATGTATTTATATATATTCTCAGTAAACAAAACAATTTCTAAGTTCTTAACCAATAAGTAGATAGTTCAGAACTCCTATTTTTTGTTTACTAAAAATAGATAAAATTTTACCACTGGCTTCATAGTATCATAGATAAAAATCATTTGTGGGGGAAAAAGCTTTTGATCTTCTCTGCTAATTATGTGCCTGTTGATTAAGCTTTATTTCAGAGAAAACTCGTAGCCAGGAGAGGCATAGACTTACAGCCACAGGTGAGATTGCCGCTATCAGTCTGATTTTGATTTTGTTTCCTAAACTACTTTTAATGCGTTACGGAGAGATAGGGCAGAATTGTTTGAGGAAATGTCGCTTATGCTACAGTTTTCTGTTTGATAGACACAGTCCCTAACATTTCACATTTTAACTTTAGCAATGGTCCTTTGAAGTTTGCCTTACTTCTGTTTCTCCAGTGGAGAATCCTAGTTATAAAAAAAAAAAAAAAAAACACAACAACATAAAATACCAACAGATATTTGGTGTTTTATAATAACAATAGCTAAGTAGTAAATAATAAATTCTCATGCTAAGATAATTCTGACTCATGTGGGAATACTTTTCACTTTTGTGTTATATTTGACTAATAGATTTTTCCCATTGATAATTTTAATGGTAGTATAAAATACACAGTTTGGGCACTGCATGTTAATATTACCTGAAGGAAAAGGAGGACTAAAGGAAAGAGAAGACTGTATTAGAAAATAAGTGACAAAGTAAAGGAAAGGGTGATCAAAATTTATTATTTATCACATACTAGACTTTGCTTCAAACATTTTACTCACATTAGTCCTATATATCAAGTGTAACTTATCCTAATTTATAGATGCAAAATTTAAACTCAGATATGTTAAATAATTTTTGCAAGGTCACAGAGCTAGGAAATAGTACAACAAAAACCCTTAGAAGGACTTGCCCTAATCTTGAACACTTATGGATGGTTATTTCACAGCAAGTTATTTTTTACTTTTTCTAAGATTCTGCTCTGTAAGAATAAAGACTGATGACCTGTGAAATCAAATTATGGAGGGGGGAACTATCACATGAATTCAAGCATTAAAAAGTAGGTTAAATACATAATTAAATTGAAATATTATGAATAATATGAGCTATATTACTTTTAGATTATCCCCCAGAAACATATATGGAAATTGTTAACAGTAGGAATATTTGAAAACTGGAGAACATGGACTAATTTTATAACACATGTAGATGAGGCAGTATAACCTAATCCTAACCTTAAATAAAAGGGAATAGAGAGAAATAGTATTTGTTATTTGTATGCAGAGAATTAACTATTTAATGGAGTTTTCCTTCATGCACCTACAGACTAAAACAAGAAGGAAATAATCACTAAGAAAGAACTTTAAAAGAAACTACTAAAATGCAAAAGTTAAAACAATCTAGATATAAAAGATTAAATAACTTAAAACTCCATGGGGCCCATATATCAGTTTATAATATTTAAACTATTATTGAGACACACTTTAAAATTTTTTCATTAAATGTATATTAAGTAGCATATAATTTTAAAATTCCCTTTCATTGACCCATGCTAATATAAGTGGCCATTTTTAACTATTTTAGACACAACTTCAGTTGATTTATGAATATCTTGTGAGTGACAAAACTATGCAATCATAGTAGAGAATTTGTAGTGTAAAGTTTATCTGATGTTTCTGTGAAAATGTGTTTTCTAGGAGTATTTTAGTTGGAAATATTGTCTTAATGTAAAGACTAACACTATTTGTACACACCTATAAAGCACTACGTAAAACATAGGAAATTAATCCATATTTCCATAAGTCAGTCTGTGTGCCTCTACCTTTCTCTTTCCTCTCCATTTAAAGTAGCCATTTGGACAGTGGTATCCTGCCATTGGAGTTATTTGGGTAGATACTCAGAGCATGCCTGTGAACAAAATCATCCCTGGCCATTTTATTAGGAGTTGAGCCACTCTTTTTAGTAAATTTGGAAAATAATCCTGAGCAAATAGCATAACTTTAGGTTTCAAAAATGAAAACAGAATATAATAATTTTCTGAAACATTTTCTTGTGTCATCAATTACTAAATAATTCATTTTAAAAAGTATTTCCTATAACTTAATTTAGCAAAGTTGTATATTATGTTTCTTTGTGCCATGTGCCCTGTTAGTAGACTTATAGGAGATATTCTAGCCTAAAACATTCTTGGTTTATAGCAATCAGACTACACAACAGAAAGTGTCCTCATGTAGTTTTTGTAATTTTTTGTGAAAGAATATTAAGAGGAAGAGTTAATTATAGTGATAGAAAATTGAGAGTGAGGAGAAAAAGTCACCTCCTTTTTATAAACTCTGCAACACATCTGGAAAAGAGCCACCTTTTCAGGGAAACAGAATGGCTGTCTCAAAGGTATGAAAATATGAAATGTGCACTCTTTATGTGCATTATTTGTGACTCCTGTACATCAGTTCTTACAGAATTCTTAATGCACAGAAAGCTTTAGTAATGCTGAGAGTCATTTGTCTTGCCAGAATGCGAGGATCTGGTAAAAAGTTAGGCTGTGATCATGGGCAAAATCATGCAGTGAAAGAATTTTAGTATCTTAGTTGATCTAAATACTACATTTCTCAGATCCAACAAGTAAGAGTAAAAAAATTTTAAAAATAACCTTACTGGATATTGCAAAAATTACTGAAGTACTATATCCTTTTGTTTAATACAGTAATTTGGGCTCTCAGAAATGAATGACCCTCTTGGAAATTGGAAAGAAAAGGTGCTCAAAATACAGATCACATGACATTGCTGATACTGGGAATGAAGTAAAACTGACTAATTTCTGAAGATTATAGTTGAAGCTTAGTTTTATAAGAGATAAATACATCAGGGAATTGAGGAACTACTGTTCCTTAAATTTTCACACTGTATTCTCTTTTGCTTTTTGTTTTCTGCCACCTTTTTTTCCTCTTAAATAAAAAAAAAAGAATTCTGTGTTGAATATTTCAAAAATACTTACAAACTCCAGCAAAGTAATATGTTAACAAACAAAAGAATGTGCATAAATAAATTTTTCTTTATAACACAATAGGTGTTCTAAATTAATACTGAAGCATTTTTACATCCATTAAATATAGGTGAATGCTTTGTCTTTGTGTTTACTACGAAGAACTAATCCTAAATCTTACTCTAGTAAATCCCAAATCTTACTCTTGTAAACCCTAAATCTTACTCTGAAAAAATTGAAGGACTAGCTTTAGTTCTTTAAGACTTCTAAAAGTGAGATGATTTTAATGCTAATTAAACCAAAACACAGAGACACACAGATCCAGTGTATGCAGTAATTGTATAGAATAAGAAATTGAAGAATATATATCCTTAAATTATTCTCCTGTTCTTAAAATAAATAATATAAATGTTTTAAAACATTAACTCTTGTGTCTATTCTTTTCTTTTTGATCTTTTTACTTATTTGATTTAGTTTTAGCCATTGTAGAACATTATAAAGGATAAATTATAGTAATAGCAACAGAATCTGTAGTTAAGAATAATATTCAAAATCCTTAATAACCATTACCGATTATGCCCCACTTTATGTCACACAACAGTGAGTATCTCATATTGGAGTACTGTGGCTATTAACTCGAACTGGTAGTAAGCAGTTACTCTGAACCAGAGAAATAAAAGGCTTTTTACAGTATAGAAAGAATTTTATAATTAAAACTCTATTTTCTTTTCTTTGAGCTTCAGTAATTACGTTTGATAACTTTTAAAATTTAATAGCTATGTGGTTTTCTTTAAAATTTTGGTACTGTAAAAAGATAAGCAGCTTTTTAAAAATAGCCATATACTGGTTATTAGGGATAATTATAATTGAATGAAATCTGATAATTACTATATATCATTTCATAATAATTTTTGGATACTGTTTAATTTATACCTAAAATTACATATAATACTATGCTTATTATTGACAGAACTTGATTTTAAGCACTCCATCAACTCATTTGAAACAGTAATGTCATCATTTATTTTAACATACAATAACATTTTAGCGAAAAAATATTTTTCATCTCTGTTGTTTTTCACTTTTGATTACCAGAAAGCAAGTTTTAAAAGTTGTGCTTAATGTATATATGGTAAGACATATTTTTTACATTATTAAACTGATTTAATTTTCAACAGAACAATATGAATGAAATTATCAAAAAGTATGGGGAAAAATACAGTGTCACATAGACCAGTTGTGGCAAACCTATCTGTTGCAGCCAGCTATTTGTTATCATTGAAAGCTCTAAAAGACTCAACATCGCTGGTATAGATCATTCCACATTTTTCTGCCAGCGTGCCTCTGGCACATGCTTATAACAGCCTCTGAGTACTTGGATGGATGAAAACAGTGAACTGAATCCTAGAGAAACAATTCCTTAGGTACCTTTTTGAGCCAGGCCCAGAGCCTCAAATGGAAAGTTTATACTTTGACACCAGGCCCAGTAAGGCCACACCCTCAGTGACATCCCTCATCCAAACAGAGTTCACCTCCCAAGGTAGAGGATGAAACAGATACCCCTTCTTACCACCAAGAGATAAGAATGTATAGGCTGGGTCTGAGAGAAATAACAAGAAGTAAATGAATCCAATTTTCCCTCCCCATGACCTGTCACAGGCATGCAAGTCCTGGGTAGAGAACAAGCCAAATGCACCCTACCCATGACTGGCACAAACCATGCTGGGCCTAGGGGAAGTAACACGAAGAAAAAGAAATCAATTCACCCTTCCTGTGAGCCAACTGGTTGAGCCAACTAACAATATGACTGTGACTGTGGGTTAGGATACCTTGGAAGAGTTAATAGATTTGTTTCTTGTGGGGCACTGTCAAATGAGAAGGGAGTCGGATTGCATCAGAAGTGACAAGAGCAAGGGAAACTGCTTGAGAAAAGAAAAATATATAATTTTCCAGAAAATTCACATTGAAGAGTTTGGCAGAATGTTTTGCAAATACTACTAGCTGCTTATATCTTGGAAACAGACCCAAGCACAGCAATGCTTTTAATAACAGAAGCTAAACTCCCTTATGCCTTATCTTCATGTAGGGATTAAAGCATATATGATGAAATCAGGCCAGGGTGATATTTCCACTGTCCCCTCCCAGATCTATACTGAAGCTATTTCATTAACACATGTTCTTAAAACTTATTCATAGGCTCTAAGTCTATGCACCTTTGAAAAGTCTTCCCTA